ATGGGCTCCAGCCCAGCACCAGCCATGGCTGGCTCTCCTTCCTGTGCCCTTACTCCCAGGGTCTGTCCTCCTGTTCGTCAGACTCCTGCTTCGCTTCTCCACAGGTGGGAGTTGGACAGCAGCATTGTAGATGTGCCGCCTCCCACGTTAACGTGGGAGAAGGCAGGCCAAGCTGGGCTCGCGTCTGCATTCTTGGCTCCTGGGGCATCCCAAGCACCCTTTTTCGCTTGGCCACACTAGGCTTTCTCCTCTGGACATTGGGACACACAGCCACCGTCAATTATAAGGAAGCTTCAGTGAAACTGCCAGGTCGGCCTGTACCCAGGCCATATGGGGAACCACCCTATTGTGACTAATGGGTGAGGGTGGGAAACATACTGATTATCTCTTCTTCCTCTCTGGGCCTCACTCTCATGACTTGCAGATGTGACATTCAAGGCGAGGGACCCCTGTGGCCTGGGAGCATCTAGTAGTCAGAGACCTCAGAGTGCCTCTGGTGTCCAGGTATCATCAGTACAGTGATTACTGAGTAAATGAATTCCTGCCTTGGATTTAGGGGAAACCTCCTGGTCCAGGTATGAGCAGCCAAGTAGCCCTCCAGCTTTACATATGGCAGTTTTTGTGTTGGGTTCAGCTGTCAGTACCCCTTAACAGTGTAAACCATGTAATAATGTAAACTTTAAATTCATGATTTTCATGTACCTAGATTTCTTTCTAGTTATCTTATAGTGAGTTTTGATTTTGCTGGCGATGTCGAGTGTTCACAACATAACTTGGAATATTAGAAATCCCTCAGTACCAGGAAGAGGTCAGACTTGAGTTGAGCCCAGAAGGGTGGGTTAGATAGACATCACAAGCAGGGGGGCCATGGTGTGGACAGAACTGAGGAGTGGGAGTATAAGATACATTTAGGGACAGTCTGCGTTTCTCATTAAGAAAACGAGGCGATTGTGATGAGGTTGACAGTTACCAAGAGAACTGGGCCACCAAGGAGAAAAGAAATCTCTTGCCAAAAGGCACTTCCTAATTTCCCCCATCTTTGGCGCTCTGAAAGACCTGTCTTGTCTAGTGAGACTCTGCCCCACAGGACTGGTCAATAAACTCTAACTTAGCATCAACTATAGGTTAGGCTTGTATCCTCCTAAGTTTTTTTTCTTATTTTGAAAAATATCAGACATACAGAATGCTGAAAGAGGAACTCTCTTATGTCTTTTATATCTTACTCTCTTACATCACACCTGGACTTAACAATTGTTAACATTTCATCACATTGTTTTTCCCTCTGTAGACTTTTCTAGGATTATTTGAGAGTAAATTGCAGACATCAAGACATTTCACCCCTAAATACTTCAGCATGCCTCTCCTCAGAACAAGGTGTTCCCTTCAGTGTGCTAATACCATTATCACACTCAAGAAAATTAATAATTCCCTTGTGTCTAATATCCAGTCTACAGGAGGAGCTCCTCAGTTGTCACCAAAATGACTTTTATAGTTTCTTTTGTAATCAGCATCCCATCGCTTTTGTATTTGGCTGCTGTTATGTCTGTTTAGCCTCTTTTAATCTGCTATACCCCACCTCTTTTATGTTTTTATGGCATTGACTTTGTAAAGGCTCCAGTCACATCCTTCTTGTTTTGAACCTGAGTATGCAGGTGTTTAATATTGATTCCATCAACATAAATTTTGTAAGTAATATGCCTCCTGCCCCTGAAGTCCCATAAACCCATACACGAGCCATTGCTCAAGATGCACAGTTCACTCTCGGGCCACACTGCTGGCTCCTCGGGGTTGGTGTTGGTGACGTCCAGAGTCTGTCTGCAGGCAGCCTTGTTCTCGGAAATAGGTTCAAATCTCAGCTCTACCACTTCTCACTGAGGGACTTTTCAGCTGGTGGTCCTTTCTTCTCTCTATGCATCAGTGTCTTCATCGCCACAACAAAGGGATTGGACTAGGGGCCTCCTCGTCCTACTCATCTTTGCCTCTGAACACCTCTGTGACTTGGCTCTATTACTGAGTCCAGTCTCATACTGCTTACCATACAACAGGCCAGTAAATCAAGAGATGAGTTGTTGGGGCAATAAATAGCAACTTTATTTGGAAAGCGAGCAGACTGAGAAGATGGTGGTCTAGTATCTTAAAGAACTATCTTAACCCAAGTCAGAATTCAGACTTCTTTTAAACTAAAAGGGGAAGGGGTGTGGCTGGTTGTTGAAAACTTCTTGGTGTCTGAATCCCTTGTTCTTGCAGCTGTCCATATAGATCAAGTCACATGTTCATGTAGACCTCCAACAAGACATGTATTCTCTGTTCTGTAACTTTTTATCTCTATATGAATGGTAAAGTGTTACATCTTTAAAGGTCAGAGCATTGAGAATGCGCTATCCTCTATATTTCAGGCTCTAGGCAACATTCTTAACTTACAGCAAAAACAATAGAATACAAAGGTTAAAGTAAAAGAAATAGATCTAATATGAAGTCAGATTTGCTCTTCCCTTTTATAGCTCCAAGCGTTGTCAGGCAGACCCCCTGCAGCTTCGTAGCTCAAGTTAGCTGCCTTGGGAAGCTGTTGCCAGTTCCCATTCCTGGCACCAAGAACAGGAGATCTGGGAGGATGCACATGGTCCTCTGATGCTCAAATGTGACCATATGCCTTTCCCCTCTGCTCCCCACAGCGGAGATTCTGGAGCTGGCTGGCAACGCAGCAAGAGACAACAAGAAGGGCCGGGTCACGCCCCGGCACATCCTGCTGGCCGTGGCCAATGACGAAGAGCTGAATCAGGTATGGGGCTCTCCTGTGCTTCCCCCACCCAGACACTCCAGCAGGTGGTCATGCTGCCCAAGAAGTGAGCTGTCTGTCCAGGGGGAGGGTGGCGTGTGGCTGGCTGTCAAGGGAGTGGACTGCATTTTGGACTATTAGCAGCTTCCCTCCCCTCCATGGCAGTTTTTCCCCAAGGCTTTATTGGTTGGGGGGAAATGAAACAAGGAATTTGGCTCTCCTTGGAGGAAAGATGTTTTGGAAACTCCACCTGAGTGAGTGAGGGACTCTGAAGGCTTGCTCCCAGTATAGTGAGCCAGGGTCCTGTCAGCATCCTTGTAGGTGCCATGGAGGAAGGAGCTCTACCAACCAAAAGCAAGAGCGTGGGTGGACAGGGTGACTTCTTGAAGGTCAGGGACAGGGTGGTCTGGCTCACCATCTGCTGCTTTGGTTTTCCTGCAAGCTGCTAAAAGGAGTCACCATAGCCAGCGGAGGGGTGTTACCAAACATCCATCCAGAGTTGCTAGCGAAGAAACGAGGATCCAAAGGGAAGTTGGAAGCCATCATCACGCCACCCCCAGCCAAAAAGGCCAAATCTCCGTCCCAGAAGAAGCCCGTGTCTAAGAAAGCAGGGGGCAAGAAAGGGGCCCGGAAATCCAAGGTGCGTATGTGATTTGGCAGGGACCTGTGGCGGGTGGAGTGGGCAGGTGCCGGCACGTGGGATCACAAGGGCTCCTCTTTCTGGTGAGGGCTCATCTTCCTCATGGGGCGGGGGACTATACGAACATGTAGAGCTGGTAACAGAGGGCTGGTGCAGCTGAAGTGGCCAGAATCTGGACACAAGTGTGGGACTAGATACCTGTAGGCAAGGGGGATGTGGGGAGGTGCCAGGGCGGATAGCCCCAGGCTGGAAGGACCTCGTGCTCAGCCTTCCAGGAGATGCCCATGCCTGTGGGGAGAGACCTGTGTGTGCAGGAGCTTCCCTGTGCGAGGGATAGCAGTCAAGTCCTGCCCAGAGGTGTCGGCTGCCTGCTTGCCCTTGACTCACTCAGAACTGTTTTGTTGCCGTGGCTGCATGGCCTCCTCCGAACCTGTTCCAGCAGGGATGGTTGGGATAGTTTGCTCTTTGGAATGACTGCCTTGTTAAAGGGGAAAATGAATGCATTATTTGGGTGCTTCCTCCCAGACCTACTCGGACTGAGACTAGATTGTCGGTGCTGATGTTTCGTGGGGAGAGAAATCCTCTCATGAGTGTGACCTAATTAGTTGGGCAGGCCAATTGATCCCGAGCCAGGGTCCTCCTAGCCCACCCTCGGGAGGGTCCGTGCCTGTGGGTGGTTGTACTCATCTGTCTGAGACTCCAAGGCGACTAGGACATGTTTTCTGTGTTCCTTCCTTGCTGGGCCCTACCTCTCAGCTGTCGTCACAGATTCCAGCCAACAAATTAGGAACAGTGCCATTAAAGCTGTCTCTAATAAATGGAATCTCAGGGCTGCCCCACCCTACCCTGCCCTGCGATGCCCCCTCAGGAATCATCCTTCTGGCCTCCAGCCAGACTAGGTAGAAGTCACTTCCGGCCAAAGGTGACCTCCCTATTTTGTAAGACCCTCAATAATCATTTGGAAACACCTTGTGGGGTTTAATGCAATGTCAATGTCAAGATGTTCTTCCTTCCAAATCCCAAAGCCCTCACCAGAGTGAGATGATGAGGACACCTTCCCAGGATAGGTCCAGGAGAACTGACCTGGAGTCACTCACTAGCCCACCCTCCCAGCATGTCCCCTCCTCTGTGCCCATCCAAAGTTAGGCAGGTCTTTCCCACCTTCTCTCATCTCTCACCTCTCATCCACACTGTTGGCTCTCTTCAGTTGAGGTGGAAGAAGCTGCATTGTTTGTACATCCTTTTGGGTGCAAACACTTGCCTGAAAACAAAATTTAAATTCCTCTTGCCAACAGGCCCCCACCCCATCCCACCCGGCTCACAATCACTCCCAGCTCTTTGAGAGAGAAACCCAATACTGAAGAGTATCCTGTAAGTTATTTGCAGATACTGCACTCAACCTGGCTCACAAGTCCTGGAGGAGGTTGGGCAGGCGGGGATTTCACAGAATGCTCCATTACTCATTCCTGCTAACTATAAAATTAGCAGATTGAACTGTTTCATTTTCTCCTTGCAACATTTGCGTTTGTGGGAAGAAGCAGGACAGGGAAGTCAGGGGGAAGTGCTTGTTCCACCCCTCTTTAAATGTTAAAAAAGAAGACAGGTGCCAAATCCATTGTCTCTTGATCTTGGGCCTCAGGGAGCTGGCTGCCCACAGAGCAGGGCCCTTGGTGCTTGGTAGGCACTGGGGGCCCCCAGGGGCAGGACTGTACCCCCTCATATAGCCTTCCTGCGCTGCGACCAGAGCCATGGCCTTGCTCATGTGGGCTGCTGCTCTCTGATGTTCAAAAGCACCTCTCCAACTAGAGTGTCTCTTGCAACCATGGGTTAAACCTTGCTCCATGTCACCCGCAGTCTTCAGCTGGAGTTTTTGTCCCATGACTTTCTGAACTTCCCAACTGACCGAACTCTAAAATGCTTTTTCTTTCTTTTTGGACTTGAAACATAGAGGGTGCTTTTGTGTATGTGTGCGTGTGTGTCTTTAGTGTCTAGTAGCTATATTTGGAACTCAGTGTTTCTAATAACCATATGCCAATAATCACTTGAACGCTCAACTTTTCCCTTGATTACAAAAGCAGGAAGTCTGTTATGGTGGTCTGTTTTTCTTCCACACAATAAAACACATTGTCTGCTTACTGTACCAGTATTTGGCTAACATTAAACCCTGGGGGAAGCTGAAATTGGAACCGTGAACAGCTAATTTTCAAAACATTTGTTTAATGTAAATTGTGGTGTCAGCTCCCAGAATCAGCGGAGAACCCTGCATCTCCAGGTTTCAGTGGAATGTTCTGAAAATAACCTTTCCAGAGACATGCAGAGAAAGCCTTAGTAACATGCTAAAGCACTTGTAGTGAAAGGGGGTTGGTATTTTTCAAGTGTCAACACTTGAATTCCAAATCATAATTTTTCCCCCAATTCTCTGTAATTGGAAGGTTTTGAAAGTCTCCAGTTGTGACAGCTGAGTCAGCTAGAATGGAAACTGTTAGAGAAGGCAGCACGACCCACTGGGGGCTGGGAGTCTGGGGCCCTGGCAGTGCGTTGGGGTTCTTCCTTCCTACCTGGGAGGCTTCAGGCAAGTCTTTGCCTCAGTTTACCACCCCCCACCATGAAGTGATGGGGTCCAGTCCAGCCTTATAAATTCAGTTACTCTAGTGAGCAATCACATAATGTCTCTGGGTGATATGTGTAAGCATTTGGATGGTACAGAGGAGTGTGCAGTAATAAAATCTCTCTCACACCACAGCCCTCCCTCTCTCCTCCCCAGGGCAGTTTCCATAGTGTTTTCATGTACCCTTCCAAAAAGTATGCACATAAGAGCGTATAGATATATAAAGCCTTCCCTACCCTGTTAGCCTTTGAAAATATATGCATGTGAGTCATGTTACCCAGTGTTTTGGCAGTGTGTTGTCAGTGGCTACAGGTGCCAGCTCACCTGGCTTTGTATTATTCCAACTCTGTCAGTTCTTGGCTGGGTGACTTCGGGCAGTTATTTAACTTCTCTGGTATCTCAGTTTTCCTCATCTGTAAAATGGAGGCATAACACAGGCTGGTTGGGAGGCTTACTAGAGAGTTCATGTGCAGTGCTTACAGTGGTTTCTGGCACAAATGTCTACTTTGGCAGTTCTCCCTTTCCTCGGCATGTGGAGTTTCATGGTATGACTCCAGTTACTGGTACAATATGCAGAACCGATGTAACCAGTTCTCCGGGATTTTTTAGCATCCATTCTGACAAACAGTGCTGTGGCGACCATCGTTGTGTGGCGGGTCTCTGCTCACGTGCAACTGTGTCTATAGGAGAAAGTCTTCAAGGTGGACTCGCTGAGGCAGACACTGTATTTTTAACCTTTGATGGCTGTTACTCACATATACAGCATATGGTCCCATTAAGGAATTTCAAAAGTGATACTCTTTTCACATTTGACACAGAGTTGTTTAAAGAAGATGGATCCATTCGATCCGTATTTATGGAGTCTCCATGTGCTGGTTTCCTCTTCTTGGTAGTGAGGGTACAGCAGTGGACCAAAGGCCCTCGCCCTCCCTTGGTGCTCAGTGAACTCTGGTATAGTGAGAGAGACAGAGGTGTTACAGAAGGTGGGGTGAGTGGATGCTTTGACCAAAATAAAGTGGGGTGATGGTGTGGCAGTGTTGTCTTACATGGATGGTCAAGTGAGACTTCTCTGGTAAGGTGACACTTGAAGAGACCTGAGGGAGTAAGGTATCTGGGCATTCAAGTGACTAAGAAGAGAGAGCTCTTGGCATAGGGTGGGAGCATTCCTGGCTCCTCCCAGAAAAAAACGTGACAGGCCTTCATGTGGGGTCCCTAATTTTTCATAACATGGATGGCTTCGGCAGTCAGGGCAGCCTGAGGACCCCTCTCAAGATAAGGTTTTCAAATGTATAAAATACTAAAGATTCAAAGGAAACCATTTATGCCTGAACCTCCCAGGTTAAGACCCCTTGTCAGAATGCTCACCAAAAGTCATAGTGTAATCTTTTAGGGCATCTCCAAGAAGATAGTTTTTGATAAACAATATTGTTTTGATAAACAATAATCTTACGTAGGATTTTTCGAAGTAAACACACACTACCTCCCCAACTGAACTCCACCCCCGTGTGCAAATCACTCCTGGATCAAGAAGATACGCTAGCTCCTCACTACCTGGCAGAAAGCCCAGGATGATTTTGGTGAAGTGCCTCTTTCTTTTTTGAGAAATACTTAAAGTGCAAGTGAGTGATTAACATTCTGGTAAGGGATGCCAAAGAAAGGATTGGTTCTTTTGAGAAGCTGCCATCCTTGCAAAATTTTGCTGACTTTTTAATGAAGTTTCCGGAGGCTCAAACATCAGAGCGAACAAGACTGGGTAATCTCGGGTTGATAATTTCACACACGTCTTTTTGAATAGTCAGTTCTGTAGATTCTTAAATATATCTCCCACTGACTGTGACCTCACAGGTTTTCTGCTCCTCAGAACAGAGCTGAGTGCATGCACAGTACGTGGAGTTTTGGGGTTTGTAGAACAACATGCATTTCTAAAACATCAATCGTTTTTGGAAATAGACAAAGTATTGCTTGTTAGCTTTTGTCACCCTGGGCCAGGATATGAAAAGAATCGACCACCTACTATCACCATTTCATATAAGAAAGAGCATTTTAATACCAAAAAGTTAGGAAGGAATATAATCTCAGACAAAAGACCTTATGAAAAACTTAGAACACAGTACTATTGGAACGTAGTGACATCTCATGAGACAACTGTGCAGACCTGAAGCACCCTGTCACAGGCTGCAAAACTTGCAGAGAAGAGGCACACATTGTCTGCCAGTTGGACAGAGTGGAGGCAACAGGAAAGGAATGGCTGGTATCACACAGGGTTTTTACCGCTTTCTCTGTCTTGGCCACCTGTTTAGTCATTTCGCCTGCCTTATCTGATTTTCCCGATGAGGAAGCTAAGACTTAAGAAAGGTGAGCCATTTGACCAAGGCTATGCAGCTAGTAGAAT